TCTATCTATCTATCTATCTATCTATCTATCTATCTATCTATCTATCTATCTATCTATCTATCTATCTATCTATCTATCTATCTATCTATCTATCTATCTATCTATCTATCTATCTATCTATCTATCGATCTATCGATCTATCGATCTAATCGATCGATCGATCGATCGATCGATCGATCTATCTATCTATCTATCTATCTATCTATCTATCTATCTATCTATCTATCTATCTATCTATCTATCTATCTATCTATCTATCTATCTATCTATCTATCTATCTATCTATCTATCTATCTATCTATCTATCTATCTATCTATCTATCTATCTATCTATCTATCTATCTATCTATCTATCTATCTATCTATCTATCTATCTATCTATCTATCTATCTATCTATCTATCTATCTATCTATCTATCTATCTATCTATCTATCTATCTATCTATCTATTGTGTTACTAGACTCATGTTTTTACCTCATCTGATATTTGGTCGATCCATCCATCCATCTACGATTCCATTCATCCACTAATACAGCCATCTATCATTCCATCCATTCATCTACCCACCCACCAATCCATCCATCTACCATTCCATTCATCCACTAATACAGTCATCCATCATTCCATCCATTCATCTACCCACCCATCTATCCAGGATACACTCGCTTATCCACATCACCATCCACACATGCTGTTTTCCCATCTTTCCCTTCATCGCTCCCTTACACTCTAGTTGTTACGAGTCTTACTCTCGGGCTCGACTGATTACTTTTGTATAACAAGCATGCTTACTGTCTGACATGCTGACAGTAAGAGAGAAGCATCTATCTATCTATCTATCTATCTATCTATCTATCTATCTATCTATCTATCTATCTATCTATCTATCTATCTATCTATCTATCTATCTATCTATCTATCTATCTATCTATCTATCTATCTATCTATCTATCTATCTATCTATCTATCTATCTATCTATCTATCTATCTATCTATCTATCTATCTATCTATCTATCTATCTATCTATCTATCTATCTATCTATCTATCTATCTATCTATCTATCTATCTATCTATCTATCTATCTATCTATCTATCTATCTATCTATCTATCTATCTATCTATCTATCTATCTATCTATCTATCTATCTATCTATCTATCTATCTATCTATCTATCTATCTATCTATCTATCTATCTATCTATCTATCTATCTATCTATCTATCTATCTATCTATCTACCTATCTATCCTACTACCTACCTACCTACCTACCTACCTACCTACCTACCTACCTACCTACCTACCTACCTACCTACCTACCTACCTACCTACCTACCTACCTACCTACCTACCTACCTACCTACCTACCTACCTACCTACCTACCTATCTATCTATCTATCTATCTATCTATCTATCTATCTATCTATCTATCTATCTATCTATCTATCTATCTATCTATCTATCTATCTATCTATCTATCTATCTATCTATCTATCTATCTATCTATCTATCTATCTATCTATCTATCTATCTATCTATCTATCTATCTATCGATCTATCGATCTAATCGATCTAATCGATCGATCGATCGATCGATCGATCTATCTATCTATCTATCTATCTATCTATCTATCTATCTATCTATCTATCTATCTATCTATCTATCTATCTATCTATCTATCTATCTATCTATCTATCTATCTATCTATCTATCTATCTATCTATCTATCTATCTATCTATCTATCTATCTATCTATCTATCTATCTATCTATCTATCTATCTATCTATCTATCTATCTATCTATCTATCTATCTATCTATCTATCTATCTATCTATCTATCTATCTATCTATCTATCTATCTATCTATATCTATCTATCTATCTATCTATCTATCTATCTATCTATCTATCTATCTATCTATCTATCTATCTATCTATCTATCTATCTATCTCTATCTATCTATCTATCTATCTATCTATCTATCTATCTATCTATCTATCTATCTATCTATCTATCTATCTATCTATCTATCTATCTATCTATCTATCTATCTATCTATCTATCTATCTATCTATCTATCTATCTATCTATCTATCTATCTATCTATCTATCTATCTATCTATCTATCTATCTATCTATCTATCTATCTATCTATCTATCTATCTATCTATCTATCTATCTATCTATCTATCTATCTATCTATCTATCTATCTATCTATCTATCTATCTATCTATCTATCTATCTATCTATCTATCTATCTATCTATCTATCTATCTATCTATCTATCTATCTATCTATCTATCTATCTATCTATCTATCTATCTATCTATCTATCTATCTATCTATCTATCTATCTATCTATCTATCTATCTATCTATCTATCTATCTATCTATCTATCTATCTATCTATCTATCTATCTATCTATCTATCTATCTATCTATCTATCTATCTATCTATCTATCTATCTATCTATCTATCTATCTATCTATCTATCTATCTCTCTCTCTCTCTCTCTCTCTCTCTCTCTCTCTATCTATCTATCTATCTATCTATCTATCTATCTATCTATCTATCTATCTATCTATCTATCTATCTATCTATCTATCTATCTATCTATCTATCTATCTATCTATCTAGCTGTCTGTCTGTCTGTCTGTCTCTGTCTGTCTCTGTCTGTCTGTCTGTCTGTCGATTTTTGTTTGCAAGCACAGGCACCACTTTTATTCCATGCGGATGGACTAATGTCATCCCCACAACCCAACCCCGGTTACGCCCTATAGGCCAACCCCTTCCTCCCTCCTTAGACACTCAGTGTACGCTGTTGGCGTCAAACCCGTCCCTTTTTTGCCCCTACCTGCGCATTGGAGGTATATAGGCTGACCGTCATTCCATTGAAAAATGTTTTTTCGCCAGGGACACTAGATGAGTATCATTTATTCTATACATTAGAGTCATATTTAGTCACATCATAGTTAGAGCCTATTAGTGTATGTGTTGTCCTTTATGTGCTGATGAAGGCTAATCGCCGCAACGTCCTTTGTTTGTTTATTGTGGTCGATTTTGTAAAGCTAACATAAACTAATTGTTGTTTCTTACCAACTTTTTCTCTTCCCTATAATTTTCTACTCCTTTTTAAAAACTTTTGTAGCTATCGAAGCGTCGTGAAGAGAAATATTTAGTGATTCAGCGCTCGATGTGGGACACTACTGATTGTGGTATTCAATGAATGAATGAATGAATGAAACAAAAATTGACATCTCTCAGTCAAGACATTCCCCTCTTCAGTTGCCAACGAAGAGTCGACATGCTAACAGTACCCGGTTGCAACCTAACTAAAAGTCCGCCTACGTTTACCCCTTCAGTGTTGAATATTTTCCAGTAGCCCTATTAACCGCTGTTGAAATAGTCTTGTCATGGATTCTCTGTCTGTTCTATTACATTGTCAGTTTGATCCCCGAGAGCCTTCATATCATCCGCACATCACAAAGTAGCTCACCGCCCAAAAACAGCGGAAGCAAACTTAAATATCAGCCTACTTATAACATCGCACACCTTAATATCCTGGATTGTCATTCCATTTGAATGTACACTGTTTTGAATTTCGCCAGTCCGTCTTCTTCTCCTATACTTCTTGCCGTTTGTTATTAACTTTTCCTAAACAGAGCTTTTGATGGAAACTTGTGTTGCAGCATTCTAAAGATAACGATTTAATCTTCTGTTTCTCAGTGTTGACCGCCTATATGGCTTCCCGACTCTGCTCCGACGCATCTTGGAAGAGAGTAGAACGTCACTTGGTAGTATTTTCAAAGAGCTCATTAGATGGACGAATCTCCACTGCTAAGAAAGTATACAACCTTACTTTCTCAATGTATTTAAAATTTAGACAGTTCGTGTCTTGCCAAACCAATTTTGAGTACCAGTCTTGTGTATGTTCGAGTGTGGTGGATTCCCAGCGGAAGATTTACCCCGGGATCTCAGAGTGAAAATCAGTTTATATTCTGGGACATAGATTGTCATATACGTCATATATTGGAATCGGTGTAAAAACGGTTACTGTTTTCCAAGGTCGGGGCGATCACCTATAGAGGTGTTTTTATGTCAAATTTGCTGTGATTAGATATGCAGTCTAATCTTAATCGGGAGCGAGTGTGAGGACGTTAGGAGTGATTTACTTCATACTGCATTTTTAGTGAGAGTGTATGTTTGTTTGTTTTTTTTTAACTTATTTATTTTCGCTCCATTACCAGCATTGAACCTGCAAAACACCATTTTTGTACGCTTCCCGATCTGTTGTTGTTCAGTTGAAAGAATAAAGCACTTTCTATAACTGGATTGTTACTGTCGCCATTGTCCAGCTGTAGTCAGAGTTTCAGATTATTCCTGTTGGACCTTCTCTCCGTCAACTGCGAAGAATAACCCATTCACTATTCCCTAGACTTTGTTGTTAGATTGAGCTATTTTGAGTTGTTAAAATCACGTTAACTTGTTTATATTCAAACTGATCGCATATGCGTATTAGCATGGAACACCCCACGCTCATCAGTTGTGGCAAATCCTACTACGTCTGCACACATCTGAGCGTCACCCGACCCCTATAACCTGCATAAACACACTCACACACACACACACACACACACACATACACATACACACACACACATACACATACACACACACACATACACATACACATACACACACACATGTGTCGAATTATATTTAGACCAAGGTGTTTTTCTGACACCGTCACTTTTTTGGTAAGTATTTTGTATGTCAGCGCCTGTGAAGACACCAAGTCCTTGTTAAGACCTACGATTGTAGACAATCTTGTAAAGAAAGAATGTAAAAGTCATACAACTCCCCATTCCAAAGGCAATTTCTTCCACTGAAAATTTGTATCATATCAGTACACGCCCAAGGAACTGAAACAGTGGTCACATAAAGAGAAAAAAAAATAGAAGAAAAAAATGAAACATCTAACACATTACACAGACCTGAACATAAGAACATGCTGATCCACATTGTGATCTGTAGGTGAAGAATCTCTTAGAGAGCGTCCATGCCTCCAGGGACGTGTTTATCAATCGTTCAACAGTCTTGGCGCCATGCACAAGGTCGCGCTCAGCATAAAGATTCGAACCAACGTCGAACTCTTGTGGGCGTGGGTAAATATATTGGCATCTCCCTGAATATTTCTCTGCTTGTCGAGCCAGCTCGTTGTCCCATCTCTGCAGAAGAAGAAGGAGAAAAGGAATATTTTGACAGTTGTCAATAAATATACAGTATTTCACGATGAAGCAGGGGTTGTGTAATAACTATCAATAAAAACTCGTCCGTGACTAAGGCGTTGCGATTCCGACTCATAATTCCAAAGTACCACGATCGAAACCCAACGCTGGCTGCGTGAGTTTTTATCATGGTACGGGGCGTCGCAGGTCGACTCAGCCTAAAATGGGAACCAGGATGGCTGTCCTGTGGAAATAAAGACGGCCAGCTAAATGCTGACCAGATTACCCACCATATAGCATATTGGCCTGTGAAAATGTGGGATGCTCTTTCCATATGCTCGATGCGCCTAAGGCATAAAAGGGGATTTTTACTTTACTTTTATCAATAGAAACAAAGCTGGGAAAATTGTTGGTATGAACACGTACCATTACCGTTCCACATGTATGAGATCAGATCCGATACTTTTTTTTCTTTCTTCTTCTTAGCGTTCACCAAATTTAAACTCCAGTGGAAAATTCTGGCTGCTCGTCCTCTTCTATCCACTTTGCAAATCTGGCTTATTTGTATGCAGACTGTTGGTTCCTCACAATCCCAGGCAGATGTACTCCGACTTCAACAGAAACACCCCTAATAAGTCACCTGTCACTACATGTTGGGGGTGCTAATAATGGGCGTGGGGAGGGGTGTTCAGGAGAGTCTGCCCCGCCCCCGGCTCCATCACCACCACCACTGGAACCCCTGAACCTACACGGGAAAGAGGATTTTGCGATACAGAGAGTCGAGATATCACTGCGGCCAGCAGGTTCACACTTCCAGAGACAAGTTATATTGGGTGAAAGAAAGATGGAACGAAGAAAGGGTCACAAATAAGGCACGCAGGCCCTTCTAATATTTGGCCCTTCCAAACACTTATTTTTCACACAGCAATTTTATTTTGTCAGTAAAGCATTTTATGTTCATATAATAATATGCATGCCAGGTCCATACCGTGGCAGGTCGTAGGTTCGCGTCCTGACGGAGCCTTTTCTGTGTGTGATAAATTCCCTTGACTCCCAGATCGACCCAGCTTTGAGTGGGTACCAGGTGCAGTCCTTGGAAGTAAAGGCGGTAGGCGTGATGCTGACCACATCACCTACCAAGTGCCGATTGGTCTACAAAAGTATAGTTCTAGCCCTCAATGCTCAATACGCCTAAAGACGTGGAAAAGGGACCTTTACTTTTATAATAATATGAATATTACCAATATCAAGAGAACAAAAAGAGCGTGGTACAAAAAGCACCCACGGAAGGAGCTAGTAGATGGTAGGGCAGGACAGCAGCAGTGAACTGGGATTTGAATCTGTTTGATACTCGGCCGATTCCCAGAGAGTGAGAGAGAGAAAAAGAGAGAGGGAGAGAGACGTTGTTTACTGTTGTTATTGCGTATATTAAAGCCATAATATTGTCAAGGGTAACTATTTAGTCACGTGGTGTGGTGGCTTTTATATTTGTCTGCCTATCAAGTGATCATAAGCACAAATCCTCATTAGGATTGATTTCAAGTACTGACCTAGGCTTCCTGGCTAACCCAGTCTGTTAATGGGAAATGGAAGTATGAAACAAACAATAAGGATGTGATAATGACCGCTTACACCCGTCAAATATACAGTGATGAATCAAAATATGTGTCTAACACCAAATATTTGAAAAGACTTTCTTAACAAGCTCACTAGACGTTTCATTTCTGAACAGATATGTTGATAAACGATAACACACAAAAAAAAGTACGTGTCGGTTTGTGGAATCAGAACGTTGTCCCAATTCTGAAACAGACGGTTCATTTGCTTCAAACCAATGTTCTTCAACTGGTGGGACACGGTCTGTATGTGGGCCGCGAACAAGTCCAGGTGAGCTGACAAAAATGTTTATCCCTTTGCCTTTATCTTGCTATCTTCCCCTAAATCTTGCCAGTTACCATGTTCTTAAGTCCATTTATTCTTATAACATGTCAGGTAGTTTATGCCTTTCAGGATTGCAGCCTGCAGGATGAACACCTCAAAGCTGAGAATGATGCGGTGGTCGTAGAAAGTAAACCAACCGCTGTCAGCTTGAACAAGATTTCTCGAGTGCTACATACTCAGGTTTACAATATGGTTGTCCATCCTGGACAATTTATAAACAAATCAAATGAAATTTCATGAGATATTGGCTTACAGAAACCACTTCTACACATGCTCGCTATCGGGTGAGAGAGAGAGAGAGAATAGAGTGAAGGTCAATTAGCTGAGAGAGAGAGAGAGAGAGAGAGAAGAGAGAGAGGGAGAGAGACTAAAATCATTTACCGAAACCGTTGCCCTCAGAGTCAGTTAGCTGAGAGAGAGAGAGAGAGAGAGAGAGAGAGAGAGAGAGAGAGAGAGCAGAATTATTTACCGAAAGCGTTGCTTAGACGGTCAATTAGCTGAGAGAGAGAGAGAGAGAGAGAGAGAGAGAGAGAGAGCGGGGGAGGAAGAAACTAGACTAATTTACCGAAAACGTTGCCTGCCATGACAGTCAATTAGCTAAGAGAGAGAGAGAGAGAGAGAGAGAGAGAGAGAGAGAGAGAAAGAGAGATAAAAAAGTGAGAGGAAGAGACCAGAATAATTTACCGAAAACATTGTTGTGAAGGTCAATTCGCTGAGAGAGAGAGAGAGAGAGAGAGAGAGAGAGAGAGAGAGAGAGAGAGAGAGAGAGCGACCAGAATCATTTACTGAAAACGTTGCCTTGACGGTCATAGCAGAGAGAGAGAGAGAGAGAGAGAGAGAGAGCGACCAGAATCATTTACTGAAAACGTTGCCTTGACGGTCATAGCAGAGAGAGAGAGAGAGAGAGAGAGAGAGAGAGAGAGAGCGACCAGAATCATTTACTGAAAACGTTGCCTTGACGGTCATAGCAGAGAGAGAGAGAGAGACAGACAGACAGACAAACAGACAGAGAGACTAGGATCATTTACGGAAAACGTTACCGTATCCGTCAATTAGCGCCTCCAATTCAAATGAAGTACTTAAACAAAATGACTTCTCCAGCCATAACACAACACTCAGACGGGTTACTGAGAACAGGACGCCAATTGAACACAATTATGAAAGCTTGTTTATGTTGTAATAGGATACTTCAACCTTCACTTCTCTCTCCTCTACCTGCCTAGAAAATTGTCACGTTTGCAGTTCCGAGTCGTTAATGTGGTAAGTTTTGTCATCTGATCACAGTATAGGAAAAGTTGTGTCAGATACGTACCCGGACATAATAGCTGCTTAAGCACAGGAACCTGGGGCCTGAGGTTCATTAAGTCTCCCCCCCCCCCCACCCCCCACCCCACCTTCCCCATCCCACAATACACTTTTTACCTGGGCTGAGGCCCACCCCCAATAATTGGATCAAGCACTTTTTTATGCGACTTAACCACACACACGCACACACACACACACACACACATACACACACACACATGCACACACACACAAACAGTTAGGCAACTACACTGGACTTGCAGTGACCTCGACCACAATAAGCAGTGATACCAGGATTCCTTATTAATAACAGGTTGATTAACAGAACTGAGGTTGTCCTAAAAATAACATTTAGCAAGCCTGGCTAGAAACAAAAGTAGCTCAGATAAGAAAGGCTGTCTGAAGTGTTGGGTGGGCGGATGTCTGAAGATGTTAACAAAGGAGCCAGAACCTTAGGGCTCACCCTTTCTCTCCCGATCAGCGCTACTTTCGAAGTCGGAGAGCATCAGCCTGAGAGGCAAGGAACCAACAGTCTGCATACAAGTAAGCCAGATCTGTAAAACGAATGTGCATGCAACACTCAAATTCTGGAACAAGACTAAAGTCCAAAAGTGGACGAACAGTAAGAACCTTTCACCTGAGGTAGCAGCTAGTGAACACAAAGAAAATAGAAGATATGCTTGCCTAAAGAGTGCATCTCTCTCCTATTTACATAATTATTGGGTCAAGGGTCGAAACCCTCCCCCCTTTTTTTAGTGCGGGTGGGGGGAGTCAAGGAAGAACACCCCCACCCCCTCCCCCAACCCCCACCACCATCACAACCACCACCACTCAATTAATTTCCCAGAAAATGTGTCAGGTGTTTGCAGGTTCCTTTATGTTTCCTAACCTTCTCTAGGAGGGAAAAGGGGTGGGGCAAGGCAGGTCCAAATCCCAATCCTAGTTTGTCCCTAGGTGGTGAAAAAGACCTCGTTGGGGCCCTAGACATGACACCGCGACTGAATACTGACAACAGGACGCCAGTTTACCACAATCATTATAAAAGCTTGGTAATGTTGTAATAGGATACTTCAACCTTCACTTTCCTCTGCTTCCCTCTACCTGTCTAGTAAATTGTCACGTCTGCAGTTACAGTTCCTAATGGCAAGTTGTTGTTTGTTTTTTTTGCCAGATCACAGAATCGGGTGTCTCACGTGTACCCGGACATGCTGGCAGCATAGATGAAGGGCTCACTTCACTGAGCCCCCCCCCCCCTCCCAACCAACAAGGGTTTTATATGGACTGAGGGCGCCCCCCCCCCCCTTCCCTGTGACTACACTAGACTTGAAAAACTCAAATTCTGGAGCAAGACAAAGGTCCAGATTAGGACGAACAACCAGAACTTTCCGCTGGAGTAAATAGGTGATAAGCACGAAGAAATAGAAGAAAACTGACTTGTCTAATATGGCATCTCTTTCGCCTAACAGAATTATTGGGTCAGGGGTCAAAGCTTTATTTGTAGGGTGGGAGGGGACCTCAAAGACACGAACTCCCACCACCACCACCACTACCACCACCACCCCACCACCACTACTACCACCACTACCACCACTACTACCACCACCACTAATACCACAACTACTACCACTACCACCACCACCCCACCGCCACCACCACTACTACCACCACTACCACTACTACCACCACTACAACTACCACCACCACTACCACCACCACTACTACCACAACTACTACCACTACCACCACTACCACCA